ACAGAAGTGGCCATATGCGGGACCTTGTCCTTGAGGCTTCTGTAGATCAGTAGGCGATTAGAGAACACTATTCTTAGCGTTGATGCAACGAATGTTCTCCTAAGATATGATGTAATCCTTCTCTTGAGAATATCACTTGCTAAATCTACCTTGAAATTCAAGTTCATGTAGAGTTTCTTTATAGGCGCAAGTGAAGTTTCATTTCTCCACCAAATTCTTGGTTTGATATTTTTGTCAATGAATTTTATTGGGTATCTATTTTGGATGAAGATTTCTCTCAGAATATCTAATTCTGTTTCTAGAACATCGGAACTACAGATGCGTTGAATGCGGTTGGCAAGGGATTTAATTCAATTCCGCTTTTTCTGAATGGGTATCTAGTTATAGAAGCTTGTTAGTTAACCATTCCAAGAGTAGCTTTTCTATGGATCGATTTTCTTAGGCTCCCATCACTTCTTGTTTTATTACGTAACACCAATTACCAATCTTCAGCTGTTTAGTTAAAATAACCATAACTAATTGTAATTTTGTTTGACAAACTTAATGTACGCATTTTTGATGTGGTTTTGTTCTCTGAGCTGGATGGTTAGTTCGCGAAGCTTTCATCACCTTACTGGGTGACATCTTCAGCGCACAGACAACTACGGACATCAATTCGACTGGGACAATGTTCAAATATTAGACAAGGAAATAACAAGAATGCTAGAGAATTTTTAGAAGCTTGGCATTCCAGTGGATCATCAATCAATAGACACATCGAGATAGACAAAATTTATCAACCAATAAGAAAGAAACTTCACACACAAGGGTCAAAGTTCAAGTCAAAGAAACAACCGGTTCCAATACAAGTAACCTAGAAGGTGTGAAAACACACACAAACAACCAATCACGTCCAAGGTCACCAGGAGAGATGATTAATAAACTCGTGGAGAAATCTAAAAGCTCACTTCAATAGATTGAAGTATGCGCTGAAGATGTCACCCAGTAAGGCGATGAAAGCTACGCAAACTAACCATCCAGCTCAGAGAACAAACCACATCAAAATCATCCACCTGAGCTACAAATCTTCTCTATCATATCTTAATGTACACATACATACAAAATAACTCATATATATATTTACGATTGTACAGCTAAGAAAATGAATTCACCGCCACCGAAAAGAGACTCTTCGCTGATCTACATGTTTTGTTTTCATTAATACCTGGATGGCGATTATCCATGAATGTGTATTCGCTGACGTCTAGGTGATTTAACTTGGCAGCTAATCAGACTTCAGACAAATCAATAAGAAGATGTTACTTGTCTGAATTGTGTGTGTATTGGGTTCGCTCAGCACATTTCGAACAATCTTATCACAAACAGGCAATCTTTGTTTAGTTATCAAGTTGCTACGATGCCCCATATAGGAGATAGCATGATGTACACGTCTTTCTTAGGGGTGAGTTGAAGAATGGATCTTGATGTTCATATATCTGCTGATGAACTCGTCACACGAAACCTTCCTTGGTAAACTTTGTAACTTTGATACCAGTCAAGAGTAGATGTACTATTACCTCTCTTATTTGGTTTAGTGATTGATCTTCATTGTTATTTTGACCTTCAATATGTCGTCCTTTTAACTAGACCTAAGTGTAGTCTATTTCCTCACCTCTTAACTCTATTAACTTCACATCTGTTCCTATGACAAATCCGTGTGTGATAGATAGATCAGATTGTTCGAAATGCGTTGCACGCAAATACACATTACACACACACACACACGATTTAGAGAGACAAATTACGTCTTCTTATTGTTTTATCTTAACGATTTATCTTTATTATTATTATTACTGTGACCACCTCGATGCATTACCATGCATTAATTCACATCCCTGAACTCTGATCCTATCAATACTTTATTAACCACATGTGCGTCGGTGGCACAGTGGTTAGGACTCTCGCCGACCATTCACATGGTCCGGAGTTCGAGCCCTCGCCGACGCACACCTGATATCTATGGTCGGCCTGCGAATTTTGGTCTACCGATATCCATGCTGAAAATTCCATACTTGTACCAAAAACGCGGTGTGGAATCAAGCTGTAATCAAAAAAAAAAAAATAAAAATATTTTAAATGCCTTTGACTACTATTGCATCATTGAGTACAAGTAAGCCTGATGAGAATTTATCGAAAATACGTATTTGCTTGCTTAAATCGTGTTTTATAACTTTATCACTTATAGTATAACAACAGAAGACAATAGCCAGACACACAGATCGTTTATTAAGGAAATCAACACATATTTATGTATATTTCATGTACATTATTATAGATTATTGTTAGCAGAAAAACACCACAGTCTTCTGATTGGTTATTTCTCACAGAAAGTTAATCTTTCATCTCTTTGTTGTGGCTGTTTCTTGAAGTTCAGATCATCTATATGTATGTTAACTGTATCCGCCTACGCAAAGCCTTTTTCTCATTTCTCTCACGATCAATATTGGGGACATAAACATTGACGTAAATTACTGTCTACCAATTTTGGCTATCAGCCAGCTCTCACCACAATGGGAATATTTAAATAACTTCGTAAGCATTTTTTTTCTTTGGAAAAGGAGATTCCACTCTGAATTGAAGATGATAGTTTAAAGTTAGACACATTTGTCAACTCGCCGTTTCCCATTCAAAGCTCACTCGATAGGCTTACCTGTATAGCGATGTAAGTTGTGGTGGGTCAGCAAAGGCAGATGCAGCTGTTGATAGGTATTTGTTTATATCGTGTTTATATAAACGACAAACCTACATCAACAGTTGTCTTTGCGCAATGCTACTCAAGATTAAATGGCCACAAAAGATCAGCAACAGTGAGGGATCATCTCTGGCAATGAATGAACCAACACAGTTGGAACCGATTGTGCAACAAATATGCAGGAAGAAATGGAGGTGGATTGACCATTCTCTGAGGAAGCAAACCATAAAGTAATTGACATCACATATCAGACCATCGCTTGATTGGAACCCGGATGAGGGAGAGCCGAGTTAGTTGGTCATCAGTGCAAGGAAGGGATGATATGGAGGAGGAGGATGCGGTGATGCGAAGAGGAGATAAAAACATGTGGGTAGACGTGGAGCCAGATGACAACAAAAGACAAATTCAGCAAAGAAAATTCTCCCCATCGACGAAATCATCTTCACAGGCTGGCTGTACAGTCGTATTTATACTTACAAAAAATATATAATTATCACCATTATCAATCTCATATGCTCCTTTTGTATATTTTCACACCCTCTTCACACTTGTTGAATTGACACTCAACTACCAACTTTATTCTCACTGAAGAGCAAGTTTAACCTTATCAATTTTCTATCTTTGTGCCGTTGAGTACCACTTAATTTAGAACTTTTAATTTTCGCTTCTGAAGCCACTTCTGAGTAATTATATCAATTATGTCACCCCCTGTTACTCAATAATAGACTACTATATATTTTTTTTTAAGTATAAATACGACTGTACAGTCAGCCTGTGAAATGATTTCTTCGATAAAGAAAATTTTCTTCGCTGGATTTGTCTTTTATTTTCTTCATGACTCGATGGGTATTTTCGGTGATTTGAAGCAGAGCAAGATGAAAACGTTGTCAGAGAACCGAACTCGATGGAGACGTTCGGCTGAAGCCGTATGTTTGTCTAGAACTAAAGGAGATAATAATATTTAGAAAACAGAAAGGATTGAGCGATCGAGGAAATATTTACTTTTCATTTAGATCCTCATCTCACTCTGGCTCTACTCTAATATACACGTATAGCATTTTTATTACAATACACAACAGTTTACCAATCACCAAGTGGCACTGATATGTTTGTTAACATTAATTAAAGTATTGGTTTTGTAGGGATTTTGTTTGATTGCATGGAGGATTTAATCATGAGCTGACATCAGTTAGAGAACCACTGGAAAACCTGGGAGTACTGGACAGCTGTTTCGTCCTAGTTTGGGACTCTTCAGCAGTACGCACCCACTGGGATTCGAACCAGGACCTTCTGGTTACAAGGCGAGCTCGTATACCATTGAGCCACTGGTCTAAGAGCTCGCCTTGTAACCAGAAGGTCCTGTGTTCGAATCCCAGTGGGTGCGTACTGCTGAAGAGTCCCAAACTAGGACGAAACAGCTGTCCAGTACTCCCAGGTTTTCCAGTGGTTTCTAACTGATGTCAGCTCATGATTAAATCCTCCATGCAATTAATTAAAGTGTCAAAATATCAATGGGTTGATAATTAACGAAGAAAATCAATACACACATTTAAAAGGTAGAAATGGTTAGAATAAATTAGTTTTACATGGATAACATGTAATTAAAGATGAAATGGTCAAAATAAATAAAAATAAAATAAACAATTTAGACAATTATAATTCTTATAGGGGAAGGGGATCGACGTAGTCCTGTTTATGCATTCTTGTAACGATGGCCACAGTAAAGAAAGTGGCTGTACACATTTCTTCTGAACACACACAAGTTTTGGCTTCTTCAGGTGGATTCCTATAGCTTCAGCTCTATGTAGAAGACAAACTCGTAGAGCAAAATTAAGATTAGTTGGAATGCGATAAATAATTTTAAATGTGCAGTATTCACATCAATCTTATGCTCAGTATCAATCAACGAGATGGGCTAAAATAGAACTACGAATAGATCTTTTTTGTCCCTTGCTTAACCACGTTGGATGATGTTCGGAAATACGATGATGAACTTGCCTAATTGTACGTCCAATGTAGCTGGCTCTCCGCAGCTGCAGTCAAACCTGGTAGATACACATAGAGGAGGAGGAGGCAAATTTAGGTAGTTTATCCTTATTTCTCGAACGTTGTAGAATAGGGGTGGTTGCAAAGAGACAACGTACCTCTGACGCTCAACCTTTCTGTTATCTAAATGTCTAAATGGGGATTTTTTACAATAATATTTATTTATTTATTGGTAATTACACTAGTTATATTTGTTTGTTTTTTCATATATACATATTTTCAGCGAAACCCGTTTAAATCATCCACAGTCATTGCCTATGATTCAAAGAATCTATATCTGTGCTAAAGACATCATACCATTACAAATCAATTACAGTCGTGAAAACATTATTCAAGGTCAAGACGACACTGAACACTATCAATCTTCAATGATTCTTCTCCATTTAAGTCAACTGTCTACTTCTTCCACACCTATACTCTCTGAAATCAATAATAATAATAATAATAATGATAACAATAATGCGTCTTCTATAGAAATGCCTGAAGAGATTGAAAATCCTTTATACTCATATGTATTTATTGGAAAATCGATCAATCATAATCATGATCCCAATACTATGATTCATCATTTAACACTTACTGGTTCTTTAGCCTATCGATGGTATTCCAACTTTCATATTGGTAGGGAATATCAACTGACATGGCGTAGAGTAGTTGCTACTTCTGTGGGAACTCCCTCTCCGCTGATGTCGTCATCTTCACACTCCTCTGATATGTACCAATTAACAAATGTCTCTGTAATGAGACGCCAATCAAATATATCCAATGATGATGACGATGATAACGATGACGAGGAGCAGAAGGAAGATGCTGCTGTACATTGTATTCAATTAAATGATATTTTAAATTCTCCGCCAAAAAGTATTGATTCAATGTTCAATTTTGAGGGGATACTTTTGTTTAAATCGTATTGTACATTGAATAAAGTATGGATAGTATGGATGACAGATAAATTATTAAAATTAAATAATAATAATAATGGAGAATGTATATATGAATGTGGAACTGTTTATCAAATACAAGTATCCGACAATAACAATAATAAGAACAATAACGATCATTTGAAGAAGTTGCTTATGCATAATCCTGGAAAAATTCTGCCCTATTATTATAAATTTATAAATTTTATTCTAACATCGCTTGTCTCCTCAACATCGTGTACATCAATGTTTTACTGCATGAATGTGATGTCTACACCCTCCTCAGAGATAATAATTATGAGCGAAAGTGAAAATATGCATTCAACACTCGTCGAGGATGTAAATGACACACCACTTTTAGAAATGATGAATATATCATTAATGGAAGAGGAGAATAACACTATGAGTTTAATGCCGATCGTAGAGAGCAATAATCATTTTGATTGGATCAATAATGCAGAAGGAGATCATGGATCATTAACCAAAGAATGTATTACTGTACAAGCTACAATTTTACGATGTTTAGAATTTCAGATATATCGTTTGCCCAACATTAACGGTAAGTGAGTTGGTTAGTTGGTAACAACCTTTTTACATTAAGAAGTGGTTAAGGCCCTCAGGCTTAACCCAACCACTCCTCTTACAGTTTATCAACCTAGTCTTCTTTACTCTTCATCCGTATTCTTTCATGTATTGCTTAAAAAAGACTATGTCCTACTACGTAGAATTCTGAAGACTGTCAGTAAGACGAGTGGTATCCCATTGGGTGATATCGTTGACAACATTGCCATTGATAGGCTCTTGGTGGCATGCAACAAATTTGTTGAAGGAATTTTATCAGACTCTGAGCATCCACTGCAGCACCCACAGCTCCAAACTTGTGTCGCCTCCTCAGGTAAAACAAGAAGTCTTTTCGGAAGAATTGATGCACGTACTACGTCTAAGTATAAAAATTCCACTATACCATATTTCGCGGCACGTACTTTATGTGATGAAAATAGTCTCAGACATGAACTAACTAACTAACCTTCTTTGCACTACTCAATAAACCATTTCCTCCACCCTTACAGTACCAAACTTGATTGTTATTGTATTTCTTATATTTATAATCCTCTCCATTCTCGGTTTTTATTTATTTATATTCCATAAGTGTGAACATCATTTGCGCTGTTTTATAACTGTTAATTTTGTATTTCCCCTCACTATACTACATCAACAGAACATTAGATTCAATAATCTATAACATGCTAAAGTTTCCATACTGAATCGACAATACTCTTTGAAACAAACCCACTGTTATTATTACTATTATATTTAATATTCTCAATTGGTGCTTCGAATATTTTTGACTTTATATCGTGAATGTGGACAAATTTCTCTGGTTAATTATGTTTTAATCTTTAATTTGATTTATATTTTGAGTAAATCAGATGCAAGGTGTTGTGACAAATGCTTAGAATTTCATTCTGTATTACAAGTACTGCTGTTTTTGGAATAAAGTAGATTATTATTATTTTTACGAGTTGATCACGGATTGATATCAGTTAGAGAACCATTGAAAACCACCAGGAAGTACTGGACAGTCAACTGTTTCATCCTAGTTTGGGAATCATCGCCAGTACGCACCCACCGCCAAGCCAGGGTTCAAACCCAGGACCTTCTGGTTACAAGGCAAGCTTGTATCCCTCGTTTTTTTAATGGTTCTCTAACTGATATCATCAATCCGTGATCAACTCGTAAAAACAAAACTAACCTTTACAAACCAAACTATAGAGTATTATTATTTTTCCTTTAAACAAGTAATATCACCAAGAAATTGATAATATTGTCATTAGTGGGAGAGTTATTGAAATAATGACCACCTTGGAGGAGGCGGAGGAGTACAGTAGACGGACAGTTTTAATCTTTTTTGGACTCTCCCACAGTATGTCTCCCTACCTCTGAGGAGGTTACGACGATAAGGCGTATCAGCTTTTCCAACCTCCTCTCTAACTGATGTCAGATCATGATTGAATTTACCTGAAATTGATTAAATTCATAAATAGCGATAAAATGAACGTTTGGATATCATCCTAGGCATGTGTGTGTGTTTCAATTTAACATCTAGAATAAAGGATTATTATTATATACTATAGTTGGTTTGTAAGGATCAGTTTTGCATTTACGAGTTGATCACGGATTGATATCAGTTAGAGAAACATTGAAAACCATCAGGAAGTACTGGACAGTCAGCTGTTTCATCCCACTAGTTTTGGAAATCATCATCAGTACGCACCTACCGCCACGCCAGGGTTCGAACCCAGGTCCTTCCAGTTACAAGGTCTTAGACCATTACGCCACTGGGACCTCATTGAATGACCGGTGGGTGAATTCGAAGATTTGTCAATTCAGGATATAGCGCGACCACTAACCGATGTCATCGGTTTTAGATTATTTGTCCTCACTCCTGACCTTCTGTACCTTACTCACTGGTCACGACTTCTCACTAGAACCCCGGTAACTACTTACCCGAATAGGGCCAATCACTAGTAGGCATCAGATTTCATCATGAATTGATATTGGTTAGAAGACCATAGTAATAATGACAATAATAATAATAATATCCGAGGTCAGTTCTTGATGAAATCCTGAAACCAACCTAATCCTGGCAAACCGAAGCACTTAAAATAAGTTTACATCAGAAAATTACTCTAAATTGTCGCAAAATTTAAAAACCTAATTGTTTGCTTTTTAATTATTATTATTAGCACTATTATTACTGTTATTATAATTATTAATAATATTATTATCACCATCATTATTACTATTATTATGATGATTTTTTAAATATATTTATGAGTTGAAATTTCTGTAGCAATTTGGTTAAGTTTTGGGAGTGGAGTTACTAGCACCACTCCCCAACCCTCCCTCTTTATCCGGGCTTGGGACCGTTTAGAAAACTGGCAAGCTAGTTATCTAGGCGACCAGAACAAGCTGGATTCAGGAAAGGCAAATCATGTTCTGACCAAATCGCAACTCTACGTATCATCATCACAGAACAAAGCATAGAATGGCAATCAAACCTAACTCTACCTTAACTTTATAAACTTTGACATACAACGTTGACCGCGAAGTAATTTGGAAACTACTCGAGTACTACGGCGTGCAGCGCCCCAAATATTCATTAAACTTATTCAACAGCTGTACGACAACGGAACATGTCAAGTGATCCACAACGGAAAACTCAGCGAGGCGTTCGGAGTAAACACAGTAGTCAGACAAGGGTGCTTATTATCACCAATTAATGATATTCCTAATTGTGGTGGACTGACTGGATTATGCGTCAGACAGTTGGAAACGAGAAGACAGTGATATCCTGGACCCACAGACGTGAAGAACCTAGAAGACCTGGATTTCGCGCGTGGATGACTTACGTTTGATGTCACACAAAATCGAAGACTTACAAGCGAAAACCGGCCGATGAACTGGTCGAAGAAGCAGCCGGCGAAGAGAGGACTTCAAGTGAACATAGACAAGACGGAGGTTATGAAAATAACCAACCAACCAACAACAACAGCAACATCCAGCGCCAATCACCATTAACGGGAAGGATTTGAAAGAGGTTACTTCATTCACTCACTTATCCAGGGAGCATTGTCTCAACTAAAGGCGGTCGGAACGGACGAGGATGTCAAATCGAGCGATAATCGGGTGGTGGGCGAGAAACACATCAACATCATCAACCTGAAACCAATCTGGAAATCTTCGTCACTCCACCAGCCAGCATCAACAACAAAATTCGCCCGGATTTTCAATACAAACACCGTCAAGTCAGTCAGTTAGTTTTTCTATACGGATCAGAAACTTGGCGGGCGGGTCACAAAGAACATTTCCAACAGCCTGTTGCAGACCTTTATCAACAACTAACTCTCTTCGCTCTATACTGAACTGAAGATCAGATGGCCGGGCCGGAAAGAATCACCAACAGGAAACTATGGGAACAAACAAACAAAACAAGAAGCAATCGCCAGCCAACAAATATGCAGGAGAAAGTGGAGATGGATTGGACAGTATTCTCTGAGAAGGCCGGTTGATGACATCGCGCGTCAGGCCATTGCTCGGGTGGAACCAGGCCGAAAGGGAAGCACGTGGCGAGTGGGACGTCAGTGCAAGGGTGACATGGAGGAGATCGTGTGAAGAGGAGTTGGTTGAAACAGTATGGACTAACATGGATGGATGCAGGTGAAAAGTACAGCAGAAGGAAGACAGAAGTGGCAAGTGGAGACGGGCAGTTGAAGCCCTATGTCCCACTAGGAACCCAAGGGAACAATTATTATTATTGTTACTATTATTACGATTACTATTATTATAGTTGTTATTATTACTATTACTTTTAGTATTATTATCATCATTATTATTGTTATTATGATGATTACTATTACTATTATAGTTATTATTACTACTGCTATTATTATTATTATTTTCATTTTAATTTGTCCCTCTATTTCAGAAAATGAAACTTCTCCTAATTTCGGTATTTGTCTACGATTTATTATCAGTGATGGCAGTGGATCTGCACTTGTACAATTAGGGAATCATCCTTCATCAACTGTCACCGGTGTTACACCACCACATCTCCCTACATCAAACGATAATACCAATTTAATGTTGTCGTCGTCTTTGTCTTTGAAAAATAATGATGAATTAAGCCATTTAGAATTAGCGCGTCTCCTCTTAGGATTCAATGTTTCAATATGGAAAAAATTATGCTGTCAATTGAATTGTTTATTATTATCATCAACACCAATAAGTCTTTATGATGTTTTAAATAATAATAATATTATTATTCCGCATGAATATACTACTTTTAATTCATCAATGAATGATGTCATAATCCACAGAAATGATTTCTTGGCATCGATAAAACAGGCATTGAAAGTTTACTTAGAATCACCAGCATTTTTAAGAAATTATCGTTTCACTTTAAAGAAACGTCAACCACTAGTCAGGAATATTCCTTCACGATATCATCATCGTTGTACACCTTCAACATCAGCGCTGTCGTCTTCAGAACGTTGGAGATTGAAACGTATCAATTTGTCGAATGGTTGTGATTCACTGACATCGAATAATTATCGTGATCAACGCCAGCAACACCAGTCTGTTTATTTTGTTCTACCTCCGTATAAATTGTATACTTTGATAAATGTTACTTCGCATACTGATGATGTGATTTTGAAATAAATAATAATAGTGAAAGAAATAAATGACTCATCTTCTTTCCTTCCTACCTTCCTTTCTTTTGATCTCATTCACTTCTTGTTTTGTACAAACCTTCAGTTGATGATGAGTCCTGAGTTCGAATCCCACCGTCATCTATCTCTACTACTACTACTACTACTGTGGTAAAGCCTGGCTGCAAACCGAATTGGTAGACAGTAATTCACGTCAATGTTTACGTCCCTAATATTGGTCATGAGAAAAATAAGAACAAAGACTGATTCAACAACCAATCACAGCAGACTGCGTAGGCGGATACAGTTAACATATAGATGATCTGACACTCAAGAAACAGCCACAATAAAGAGATGAAAGGTTAATTTTCTGTGAGAAACAACCAATCAGAAAACTGTGTTTTCTGCTAACAATGATCTATAATAATGTACATGAAAATCTATAAATATGTGTTGATTTCCTTCATAAACGATCTGTTGCCCGGCCCTTGTCTTCTGTTGTTACACTACTACTACTACTGTAGCGACGGAAGACATTGGCTAGGCAACAGATTGTTTATTGAGAAAATCAAGAGGTATTTATAGATTTTTATGTACATTATTGTTAGTTGAGAAGCAACCTCCCAATGTGACTGGTTGGCTTAGACTAACTGTTGTGGATTTCATCTACTGATGAAGCTATGTTTTGGTTCGACCACCCACCACTAGCTCTCTCTCTTTTCCAACCTGATCCATCCTATGAAAGTCAGCTAACATTGCTCATTGTCCAGGAAGGCGATCAATGGCTAGTCAAGCATGCGTAACACAATATTGTGACCATCTCTCGCAATCAGTGTAACTGTAACTGCTCTCACCACATAACATCACAACCTCGTAGATTCATTTTCCCTCCCTTCTTACCTGTCTCTGTCTGTCTGTTTTCGACATAGAACTTTGCACAAATGTGCGGAAGTTCAAGTCGCCACACTCCATGCAGCACACAAAGTAAGAGAAGAAAGTACAAGAAAGGCATAATAGAGACAGTGAGCAGAGGTGTGAGACAAAGAAATAGTAATAACGAAGAACAACACAGTTTCATTCGAGATCATAAGTCACAAGGAGTGGATGCATCTGCGCTGGCCACTGAGAACGATTTTGAGCCATGTCACCAATTGTTTCCAACCATAGATTTTTACCGTCCCGAGGACCCCAACCTATCAGGAAGTCTACACTTTCCTACATGGCTTAGACTAACTGTTGTAGATTTCATTGACTGATGAAGCCATGTTTTTGTTTGACCGCCACTAGCTTTTTTCCAGCCTGACCCTGTATCCGCTAACATTGCTCGTCGAGGACGGCGATGATTAGGCATGCATACGTAACAAATGTCCTAACCATCTCAGTCTTTGTAGCTTCACGACTTCGTCGATTGATTTCCCCTGTTTACCTAGAACTCGACTGATGCCTAACCTCCATGTTGCTCACCTTATTATGCCACTTTACACGGGAAATAGAGCGCAGGCAACTATGATGAAAGACAGCTAGTCTTTTCATGTCTTCCACTCTCAGTGGGTAGGTCTCACAGCCATTAAGGAGGACGGAGCGAAGTGACTTTTGAGTAGTACACCCGCCCTTTATTCGATGGTCGAATATCTCGTCTACGCCAGAGACGGCGTAAACTGGCAAATGCGAAACGAGCCCCCTGTATTCGTGCTGAGATTTCGTCCGAGATCAACCCATTGGCACTGGCTGATGGTACTTCCCAAATAAGTGAAGCGGTCAACGTGCTCTACCACTTCACTCCCTCCTTACCTAGCACTTGACCGATACCCAACCACAATAATATTCACCTTGTTATACCACCATCTAACACGGGAGATATAATCCAGACGCCTATGATTAAAGACAACTTAGTCAGGGTTTTCATGTCTTCCACTTTCAGTGGTCATATCTCACTGGTAGGCCATAAAGGAGAACGGAGCGAAGTGACTACTGAGCAACAGACACGTCCTTTGGTCGACACCCAGCTGGATATCACGTCAACTTAGCCAAAGATGGCGTAAGTTGGCTAGTCGATGCCAAACAAGCCTTCCATGCTAAGGTTTCATCAGTGTTCGACAGCTGTTGGCGCTGATACATTGCATTACATTACACATTTCAGGTCAGATAGAACTGTGTCTATACAATCTATTGTCAATTAATCCGTGTTATTTAAAAATCCTAGACGAAAAGAAAATTATTATTATTATGTCATAAACCCCACTGAAAATTCTGTACACATTAAATAAAAAAATTGTTAAGAATAAAATTATTATTATTATTAAATCAAAATAAGCCATAATTCTGTGAATACATAATCCCATGTATTTCATTTAATATATATATATCGATGGCAACCACTAAAAACAACACCGACATAGAAGGGCTAAAGCCATACTACAAACCAAATCAAGTTCTCCCTCTCTCTCTCTCTCACACACACCTGCATGTTTTACAAGATATCATAACGGAGCGAAAAGCGTAAGCTGGCAAATCACCACTGACGATGAAGCGTGGAAGCAGAATGCCAAAATCAAGGATATAAGAAATGAAAGTTTCTGAAGTATAGAGCATAGCCAGTTAGCTAGCTAGCTAGCTGGAAGATGTATATGAGGCGCTCGAACAGAAGCGCCACTATACACAAAACAACAACAACAAAAAGAAAAAAACAACGTAAGCAGTAATTACAGAAATTAATATCTCTCCCTCCCTCCCCCCGCCAAGTACATGTGAAATAGCACATTGAATAAATTAGCGAATTGAATCAAGAAATAGTAGGATTGTTGTTGTTTGTGAAAAATAGCTATAGTAATCAGTGATTGATTGATTGACTGAATGGACGTCACATTCTGTGTGTGTGTGTTTCAGCAGGCTTTCTTCTTCATTGCTGTGAACCGTTCCATATACTAAAAGAAATAGAAGAACAAGAAGGTGGTTAATTGATGCGAGAAATAGGACGTGGACAATCTCTGTGGTGGTTGTCGTCATCTTGGTTGCGATGGTGGTGTTAGCGTATAATTCGATGATTATGTGTGTACAGTTATACAGTAATATTTACTGATGACCACGTTTCCAGCACAACTTATTGCCACACTCATAATCATATGGAGGTATTCACACAACTTACTAACTTCGTTTATATAATTCCTTTATTCTTCATCGCTTGACTTGATTGGTAGTAGTATTTTCCATATTTCTGATATGAGTGATGAGTCATTCTTATTGCAAGGGTTGAATGTAATAGACTCGATGAACCAGGCAGGAATCAACCTCTCTCTCTCTCTCTCCATTTATCTATATTACTTTTCAGAATTGTAACCCTCTCAGACCCTATTGTGTGATTACGTGTTAATGCATGTAGTGCAATCGCTTAGCTTTTTTTCTAAATGACTTATCTTCTCGGGGTCAAACATTCTTAACTTAGCTAAATTCTTATGTTCTGATAATCTGACTGTAACAACGGAAGACAAGGGCCAGCCAAACAGATCGTTTATTAAGGAAATCAACACACATATTTATATGTTTTCATGCGCATTATTATAGATTATTGTTAGCAGAAAAACACCACAGTCTTCTGATTGGTTATTTCTCACAGAAAGTTAACCTTTCATCTCTTTTTGTGACTGTTTCTTGAATTTCAGATCATCTATATTCTAACTGTATCCGCCTACGCAAAATCAGTCTTTGTTCATATTTCCTCACAACGAATATTTGGGACATAAATATTGACGTAAATTAATGCCTACCAATGTGACTAGCAGCCTGCTCTCACCACATGACTACCGCCCGATCTACTGGTTTGATCTGTGTGTAGATAACCTAGAGTGGAACCCATGTAGTAAGCGATGAGTAGGGCCTGAATTCGAGGGTGACATTGAGGAGATCTTGTGAGGCGGAGACGACGGCAGAAAAACAGAAAAAAAATGGAGATGGAATACTGAAGCCCTATGTTCCACTCAAAATCCAAGGGAACAATAATAATAAAAAATAAAATGAAGATAAAACTCTTAATCGATGAGATTATATCTTGGTAACAAAGTCTCTCCCCACATCATTTGAATCGGTTAGGGGTAACTTCCATTGTGGGCAAAATTTATTTTGATAAAGTTTCAAACAGTATTGTTATACAGTAGTAATATTTACTGATGACCACACGCTTCGAGCACAATTTATTACTGCTCATAATTCCAATATCAAGGCGTTACTCACACAACTTTCTAACTTCCTTTATATAATTCCATTATTTCCACTCATCGCTTGATTTGATTGGTAGTAGTATTTTCCATATTTCGGGTATGAGTGATGAGTCATTCCTATTGCATGTGTTGAGTTCAGACTCGATCAACCAAGAATTCAGTAATCAACCTCTCTTTCTCTCCACCTACCTATATTACTGTGGTGAGAGCAGGCCGTGAGAAAATATAAGCAAGGCTGATTCAACAGCCAATCACAGCAGACTTAACGTGGCAAAATATGATTCGCAGATAGAGAACTCTATTTGTCGAGGAATCCCGAAACAACCAATCAGAAGCCTGCATTTGTATGCCTAACTTCTGATAAACAACCAATCAGATGACTGCGCTTGTCTACCTGCATAAGCTATAATAATGTATGTGAAATATATATAAATACGTGTTGATTTTCATAATAAAACGATCTGTTGCCTGGCCCTTGTCTTCTGTTGTTACATTACTTCTTAGAATTTTTTGACTCTGTCCAACTCATCCTGTTGTGTGGTTGAGCGTTGATGCATGCAATGCAATTGCTGAGCTTTTGTCTAAATTACTTATCTTCATGGGATCAATCATTTCTACCTAAGCTAAATTTCTCATGTTCTGACAGGTAATCTGACTATCACCCCCGATCTACTTGTTTCACTTCTGTGTGTGTAGTTCACATAACTCACAGTCATTGCAGGGTAATTTTGTCAATTATATTATTTTTTGCCTAATTGGATTAACCAGCAGGATCCTTTAACCTACACACAACTTGTCTTACCCGAATGATGACTGAAGGTTTAAATGCCATTCTAATTCCTACCTTATTAAGAATCCCACTACGTAGGGTTTCAGATATGCCCTTCTTATATGATAAAATCACGATAGATGCACTATATTCTTTCTTAATTATATTATCATTATTATTAGTTTCACCGTTATTTTTATTTTGCTTTTGACCTTTTTTGATATTTCTAATGAATTTTATAGGATAGTTATTTAACAGCAACCAGCTATTCTTCTATCTGTTTTAGTTCATCATTTAAGTCTTTTCTTGTGCTACTTAATGCTACTGCTCGGTTTGTTAAACACTTAACTAAGCCTGCTTTTACAGACGTAACGGATGAGAGGAATTAAAGTCTAAATATCTATTAGAATGAGTTGGTTTTCTCTACACACTAGTGTGTCGTTTACCTTCTTCTATTCGTTTTATTTTACAATCTAACAGCATAGCTAATTCTCCTTGTTCATTTTCCAATTCAAATGTGAATTTTATTCCCTCTACTAGTGAGTTTATATGTGTCAAGAAGCTAGAGAGAGAGAGAGAGAGAGAGATGTTCTGTTTTTAACACTATATGTGAAAGTGTCATCCACATATCCCCCCCCCACCATATTATCTTTAGAGTAGGATTAAATATTGTATTAAGAACCATATTTCCCCTGCTATTCATAAAGTTATCTATTACGATAGGGGATATCGGTGATCCATCCCATTGCTACACCTTCTATATGTCTATATATTTTACCTTGGAATTTAAAGATAGTAGATGTGAGGCAGCATAACTGAATTCCTAAAATAATTTCCTTCCCAATGGGTAGTTTCATCCTATGAGTGAGTTCAGGATCTTCAGTTAGTTCTCTTTTTGAACCACTTCTAAGGCTGCCATACTGATTGGTATATTAGTATAAAGATTAGATGAAATGCGCATTATCCTGTCTGGATACCACTGTTAGCAGTCCCTAAGCACCAAAATGTTTCAGGTAAATCCTCAGAGACTGTTGAAGTATCTCCGTACAAGGGAAACCGACATGTCAATATAACACACACACACACACACAGAGGCTGAGTACTTCAATCCAATCAACCAATGGGTGAAAGTGAAAACTAAATAATATTAATTTTTAATAATTAATAATCTTAATAATTAATCTCATCTTCATCGAATTGGAAAAGGCATTCGACAGCGTCAATCGAAAGGTGATTTAGCAGCTACTTCGCTACTATGGGGTGCCACCGACAATTATACATCTCAAATGTGAACTTTATTGCCTTAACTAGTTTCAAGAAGTTAGAGATATGTTTTGTTTTTAACACTGTGTGTGAAAGTGTCATCCAAATATCTACACTATATCCTTAGAGTAGGATTAAATGTTACGAGATATTCGACCATCGACTAAAGGGTGGGTGTACTGCTTACAGTCCGCTCCGTCCTCCTTAATGGCTGTGAGCTAGACCTGGCCACTGAGAGTGGGAGACATGAAAAGCCTGATTAGCTGTCTTTGATCATAGGTGCCTCCGCTCTATTTCCCGTGTAAAGTGGCATAATAAGGTGAGCAACATTGAGGTTGGGCGTCGGTCGAGTTCTAGGTAAACAGGGGAAATCAATCGACGAAGTCGTGAAGCTACAAAGACTGAGATGGTTAGGACATGTGTTACGTATACCAAGCCATCGCCTCCCTCGACCGAAGAGCAATGTTAGCGGATATAGGGTCAGGCTGGAAAAAAGCTAGCGGCGGTCAAACAAAAACTTGGCCTTACCAGTCAATGAAATCCACAATAGTTGGTCTAAGCCACGTAGGAAGGTGTAGACTTCTAGGCTGGGGTCCTCGGGACTGTAAAAACAAGTGGTTGGAAACAATTGGTGACATGGGTCAAAATCGTTCTGAGTGGCTAACGCAGATGCATCCACTCCTTGTGACTTATGATCTCCAATGAAACTGTTTTGTTTTTCTTTATTACTCCTTTGTTTCACACCTCTGCTCACTGTTTCTATTATGCTTTTCTTGTACTTTCTACTCTTGCTTCGCGTGCTACACGGAGTGTGACGACATGAACTGGTGCACATTTGTGCAAAGTTCTATGTCGAAAACAAACAGACAGACAGAGATATGGAAGATACTAGTACCGATCAAACCAAGCGATGAATGGGAATAATGGAATTATATAAAAGAAATTATAAAGTTGTGTGAGTAGTGCCTTGGATATGATTATGAGCAGTAATGAAATGTGCTCGAGACGGCGTCATCGGTAAATATTACTCTATAACTGTACACATTGTGAAACTTTATCCAAATTAATTTTACCCATAATGGTAAGCTCAGGATCAGCAGTTAATTCTCTTTTGACTACTTTAAAGGTCATATTGATGGGTATATTAGTATCAAAATAAAATTTCTCCATAAAGGAAGTTAATATGATTTAAAAATTATTGATTAAAGACGCTCATTGTATAAAAAAATTCCAAAAGATTGATTACTGTTGTGAGTAGAGAATATTCGGCGAAGTTCAACAATAGCGTCCCAGGAGTGTGAACGCTCCAGTGACCTTGAACACATGCTAGTCGTTGGCTAACGGCACCTGTAATTATCATAGCCGAAATATCAACGCTATTCACCAAGCTGGGAGCAAATTTCACCCAGATCAGGTTTTTAAGTACAGTTTGGACAATGTGTTAATAGCTCGTTAAACTGAGGATTAGGGTTAAGATATGTATCGTGGTTAGGGTTAGATTTACGGTTTGGATAAGGGTTATGATTAAGATTACGATTAAGGTTAGGTTCAGTGTTTGGATGAGGATTAAGCTTATGGTTACGACTAGGGATAGATTTATAGTTAATGTCATTTATTTTAATTTTTTTATTATCCACGTTTTCCTGGTGAGCATTCGTCTATCTTCTTGCTGGAAACC